CCCTGTGCGCACACACCTCCCAGCAGGATTCACCAGTGCTCACCACAGCCTCTCGCACCAGGGAATGACCATTCCAGGGGTCCCTGCACAGTCCCCGGGATAGAGCAGAGCTCACCCTGGCCTGGGGCCCAGCAGCTCTGCACAGCCACTTGAAAGAAAGGCAGGAAGCCTGGGGCCAGGAAGCAGCGACTCACCTACCCGGCCTTTCCCTGAGCCGAGCCCTGCGCGTTCCACCCCACGGCCTAGCCAGGCTGCATGCTCTTGGCAGGCAATGGAGGGGGCTTGCGCCCCCCAGAGGCCAGACAGCTGCGCACTGCCCTCTGCTGGAAGGCAGAACTGCCAGCCCATGGAAATGCAGTCAAAGGTCACCAAGCATTTTCCAGGAGAGTCCAGGCGTCCCAGGCAAACTTCAACGCCCCCTCCCCCAGCGAGCGCCCGGCCTCTCGGCTCCAGCCCTGCGCCAAAGCGCTGTGCCCTACCTGCCTATCACGCCTTGGGATGGGGGGCTGGAGCCGTGCCCTGCCACTCTGCCAGCGGCACCAGGACCAGCCCCAGCAGCAGCGGGAGGGGGGCAGAGCTCTCCAGTGCCTGAACCCCCCCGCTCTGGGCCTTTTCCGCTCCCCCTTGAGCCAAGGGGCTGTTCCTGCCCGCCCCACCTCCCTGGAGCAGCTCCCTACAGCGCAGGGGCCAGGATCACAGCCGGCTGGAGTAGCACACAGGAAGCAACTGCCCTTGGGAGCAGGGAGTGAGGGGCAAAGGGAGCAGCTCAGGGCTTGGCCTTAACTCCTTCACTCCCAGCCCGGGCCCAGCCCTGGAGCACAGGGGTGGGGGAGCAGGCACGGGCAGTGAGGGCTTGGTGTGGGGCTCTACCAACCGATCCCAAACAAGACCTGATCCTCTAACTCACTCCTGATCTGCAGGTTCCCCTGCTAGCCCAGCCAGACTCCACCCTCAGTCCCGACCCGCAGCCCCTGCTAGCCCAGTCCCGGGCTCCCCCCAGCTCTGCCGGTGCCCCGCAATCCCGACCTGCAGCCCCTGCTAGGGGAGCCCCGGGCTCCCCCCAGCTCTGTCAGTGCCCCGCAGTCCCGACCCGCAGCCCCTGCTAGCCCAGCCCTGGGCTCCCCCGCACAGCTCTGCTGCCTCATGTTCCCCCTGCTAGAACAGTCCTTGGTTTCCCAGACATGGAGCACAGGTTACATGGACCTGAGCCAAACTGCAGAGATTTAGCAAGAAGAACAAAGTGGGACTAGGATGGGACTGGACAACTCACGTCACGTGTGTCTTGGGCCAGGCGGAGCCACCCCCGGCGGGCACGGACGCTCCTTGGTCCCCAGAGTCCCGTTTGCACAAGTCAGCCCCTCGGCAGAGACAAGCAGTCAAGCTGGGGCTCCACCAGGATCTGCCCCAACACTGCCCGGCTCCCCCCGGCACAACCCCCGACGGACAGCTGGGTAAACCACTCCCAGTCACCCGCTGCCCACTCAGGCAACAGCGGGGAAACCGGGTTAAAACACACCCCTGGCTGCGTCTGGACTGGCGGCCCCAGGAGCACTGTCCCAGTCACGTGCCCCACCGCCCCATGGGGCCGCCCGGCAGGCAGGCCAGGCCAGGCTTTCCCATCTCTGCAACCCGGGATGGGGCATTGTTAGGTTCAAAGTTGCTGCAGGTGTAGCTCCCCAGGACTTCAACGGATCACATAACGGCTGCAGCAACCACCTCCCCAGGGCCAGCTGGTGGCTCTGCGCCTCCCAATGGGGCACCCCACCCCTCTGGTGTAGTCCCCCTGGGATGGAGAGCACATGACGGGGGATTCCACTGGCTAAACCTACGGCACTGCCTGTATGCGGGCCAGCAAGGCCCCCGTGCCTGGGAGTGACAGGGCCGGCTTCAGGCAGGTCTGGGAAGTAGCCCGGGCTAGCCCATGCCAGAAGGGGAGACTGCAGCCCGCGTGTGGCAGAGCCATTAGCGAGGTTTAACTGCAGCACAGCAGCGGGTGGGGGAGCTGAAGAGGGCAAGGAGCCCATGGCTAAGAGGGGTTAAGTCTGGCTCCACGGGAGCCCTGGATGCTGCAGGGAGGTGGAGGAGGCAGAGCTGCTCTCCCAGCCCTGGGATGGTGCAGGGACAAGGCCTGGGGGATGGGGAGCCAGGGCCCTTGGAGAGCCAGACCCAGATCCCTTGAGACTGGGAAAGCAGGTGGGCCAGGAGCCTGGGCTAGACACACATGGTCTGATCCGTGGCCACGCGAGGCCTAACTCTTCTTCAGCCGCCTGTGCACAGGGAGACCCTCCCGGCCAGGCCCAGCCTTCCCAGGGAGCCATGGCCTGTGCAGGTGGCAGCATGGGGCCAGGAGAGGAGAAGCCGGCCCCAGGGCTCTGCGGGCCCAAGGCCTGTGCTTTCCAGCCACCCTGCTGCGCTCCTGGCAAAGGCCAGACAGCAGGGCCCATGCAGCGCTGCCCCAGCCCGGCATCGTGGGGCAGGGACCCAGAAGGGGGAAGAGTGCAGCCCAGCTGCTGGGCACGGTATGTGCTCTCTGGCTGTCGGACTCCAGCAGAATCCAGCCCCTTCCAAAGCAGCTGCTCCGTCCCAGGGCTGAGCGCACTGGCTCCAGCCCTGCAGGATCCCATTTCCGGAGAGCTGGTGGGGAAACCAAACCCTGCAGACAGCCCTCCCCCACAGCCAGTGAGCAGCCCGAGAGACATCGGGAGACTCCTCCAGCCCTGCCAGATGCTCTGAGGAGCAGAGCTCACAGGGCCGGGGGCCCTCGGGGCCGTGCTGGAAGCCTCCCAACTCCTTCTCTGGGGCGGCCGCACACAGCGGCTCTGCCTGAGCCTCCACTGCAGGGTCCAGCGCCCGACGCCCTCCCAGGAAACGCAAACCCGGGAGCTGAGACAGCTTGGGAGCCGGACAGAGACAGTCTGTGCGAGTTCAGGAGACGCTGAACCAAGTCACACCTCCTGGGCCCTTCCTGTGACAAAGTGGGGGATTTTCTTGTTTGTTTTCTTGTTTTCGGTGGGGTTTCAATGATTTGCATGCGGAGGGGGTGGGACTCGGTTTCCCTGGGTGTTACTGGTTTAACGAGGTGAGGGGAGAGGGAGTGTGTTTTGCAGAGGACCGGAGAGGGAACGTGGGACCCCAGCCAATGGCCTGGAGGATGGATACCCCAGCGACCAGACCCGGAGACCCAGCTCAGGAGTTGCAGCCGGTTCTGGCCAGTGGGAGGACAACGGGCTGCAGAGTGAGGACCCAGTGACCTAACCAGCCGGTTCCAGCCAGAGGACAGAAGCGAGGAGAGGAGGCCCCAGTTTACAACCGTTTACCTGGAGAGAAGACAATGGCCAGAGGCGGGGCTTGGGGCCGGGGATCTCAGATGCCCAGCTGGGAGCAGAGGAGCTCGGGGCTGGAGAGGGGGAGCAGGCAGAGCCCACCTGGAGGCAGAGAGACTGGGATGTGCTGGGCTGAGGGAGGCCAGGCCTGAGGCCGGAGAGTTTCCTGTGCTGTGTTCAACTCTCAATAAATCCTCCTGTTTTATGCTGGCTGAGAGTCGCTCTGGTCTAGAGAACAGGGCCGGGGGGGGCGGGATCAACCCCTTCGGGGGTGGAGGCCCGGGGGGTCCAGAGCGAGTGGACTCCCTGAGGGGGCCCACGGCAGAGACAGACGTGCTAAGGCTCAGAGAGGTGCGGCTCCAGGAGGTGGAGGGGCCTGACCCCGAGAGAGAGTGGACCCCCAAGAAGGGCTGACGCACTGAAAGGGGCACCCCCCACAGACCGCACGGGGCCAAGAGTGGGCATGATCTGTGAGTCCGTGACACCACCCCGCCCTCGCTGACAGGCCCAGAGACACGGCTACTGGTGGGGAAGCCGTTTGTTCTTGCCCAGAGCTGACACACGGTCTCTTGGACAGGCCAGGACCCCTGGCTCCAGAGCAGGGGCGCCCTGCAGACCCTGCGTTCCTCCCACTGCCCTCTTTGGGCCAAACGAGCGTGACACGACGTGCTCAGCTCCAGGATCGTGTGGCGGGGGGCAAGGATTTCGTTCCACGCGCTGGGAACGGCGCTTACGCCGCCCTCCCAAAGGCCCGGCCTGGTGCTCTGGAGATCCCCCGACAGGCTGCGGACGTGCGGCTCAGGAAATGCACCAGAGAAGGGAGTCGGGCAGATGTTCGGCGAGGTTCGGCCAGTGGCAGGTCCTTTCCCAAGCGGCACAGCAGAGGCACCGGTGACACCGCTACCAGATCCCATGGGGTGAAAGCATCTGTGTCCCAGACCCCACGCGCACGCCAGCCCTCTCTCCCTCTTGCACACGCAGACTCCCTGCAACTCTCTGTGACAGCAGGAGCCGTGCGTCCAATGGCTCTTCACCACCAAGGGGGACAGAAAATTGTGGGACCCCCAGGAGTCACATTCATGGCCCCCTTTGGGGTCATGACCCCGCGCTGGGTACAGCCGCTCAGTGAGAAACACACCAGAGCCCAGAGAGAAGGCACAGGAGAGGCCAGCGGGGACCAGCAGGTCCGAGCGAGAGAAGGAAAGTCTGGTCCATCACCAAAGCCGCCTACCCACCACCACAGGCCCCGAGAGCCGCTGGCCTTACCACGTACTCCATCTGCGCCGCACACGGGGAGCAGAGCTGCAGAGCCCTTCTGCGTGGAGTCCAACCTGCGGTTCAGCGACAAACAGGGAGTTAGCCGGCCTGGCCGAGCCCTCGAGGAGGCTGCCGTGCACTCAGCACTGACGGGACGAAGCGAACCACTCGCCGTGGCTCTTGAAGACACCCCACCATCGGAGCAGCCTCTTCCCCCGCTGACTCACTGCCGGCTCCGTCCAAGCTAGGCCTGCCCCAGGAGGTCACTACGAGCCGGGGAGGAGACGGCATCTGGCTGCTGGGGATCATACAGGGGAGCCCCTGGCACTGGCTCCTCGTTTGGATCCCTGCTTGCCTGACACACCGGGCTTGGGAGGCCGCCTGGCACCCGCTTCCCCTGAGGAGGCCTAGCAGACAAGTGCGGGAAGTTTGGGGTCTCAGCCAAGGTGAGCCTGGCTCGATCTGCCAAGAGATGCCGGGGCCTGGAGCAGCCGGGGTGCAGTGGGGAGGTGAAGGGACACCTGGGAACGCTGCTTGCCACACACACATCCAGCCAGCCCACGGGAATCTCCCTTAGAGGAGCAGCAAACCCAGTGAGCCCATATCCTTGTGCAGCAGCCCAAGGGGCACCAGACCAGAGCAAACCAGCCCAGGGGCTTGCCTGCCTCCAGACAGAACCTTCTGTGACACCGCAGCCAGTGGGCCAGACTGATGTGCCCTGCAAAGAGGGGCTGGGCTGTCATCCCCACAGCCAGGGAAGCCAGAAGCCTATGCCAGCACCTCCAGCCAGGAAGGGAGCAAAGCAGAGGGGGCCCGTGGCCGGGTCCCAGTAAACATCCAGAGCTGCCCACGTACCCTGGGGTCTCCCCAAGTGTCAAGGGGAGTGAGCCGCCCAGGCTGCTGTGGGGACTGCCCAAGACACTGTGCAGCTTTGCTGGGTTAGTGCCCCCCCCCCCGGGGGGGCCCACAGCACCATACGGAGCCCGTGGGTGGGGAAGGTGCACTCACCTTCCGAGGACACCGCCCCTGCGGGCCCAGCCACTCCTCCGTCTGGGGAAGCAGCATTCGCAGCCCAGCCGTTGCCGGACTCCTGCCCAGAGCAGCACCCAGCAGAGGGCAGGGGGGGTAGGAGGGAGGCCAGGGAAGGGGAGGAGGTTCCAGGCCCAGGGAGAGCATGGCAAGGGAAGTGGGCACAGAAACGCCCTACTCAGCTCCCAGGCCCTCCCCTCCTCCCTTTGGCCCAGGAAACCGCCCTCCAAACACAGCAGGGAAACAAACCCAATTTACTTCCTGGTAGCTACTGGGCCCTTCTCTGGGGCCTGCAATCCCAGCGCCACCGGCACTAACCTGATCAGGCCAGGCGGCAGGAAGATAAGGGGGATGTTGGCCAGAATGGGCAGGGCACGGCAGCATGCCCAGGCCGGTTACTGACGCCCAAGTCATGCAGTGCAAAGGCCCAGATGGGGAAGGGTGGGCTGGGAGCAGGCAGCAGGTACAAGGGGGGTGCTCCCTCCATGCTGGTCTAAACACATACACACACTTGCTGGGGTGGGATGGGGATGGAGGGAGGGCGGCGCATGCTTAGCTGGCAGGCTGGGCCTGGCTTGCCCCGGCCAGAGGCTCTATCCCAGTCCCTAGTGATGCCTGCTTAATGCAGCTGGCACCCGGAGGCATCGAGACAACAGGTTTAGTGGGAAACAAGATGCAGCTTCACTGGTATTGACGTTATGGCCCTTCAGACGGGCTGTCAGAGCCTCCTGGGACCGGGCGCGGCCAGAGACACACACCCCCCGGGCACGGCCAGAGACACACACACACACACGGGGCCGGGCGCGGCCAGAGACACACACACACGGGGCCGGGCGCGGCCAGACACACACACACAC